CCTTTTCTGTCCATCAGATCCCAGCCACTGCCACTTTCTGTTTCTCCTGGATAAAGCTAGCATTTATCTCTACCTCATCTTAGTTTCATGAATTACTTTTTCATTAGCCTTAAGTAGCTCAAGTAGCTCATTCCCATTTGGGTGCTGTGAGAACTGAGGGTGGCCCAGATCCTAATAATGCGCTGGCTTGTCTGAATATCTTGTGGTTTGTGAAGGTAGCCTTATGGGAATAGAAAGAATACTTTGGAAGGAACTGACCTCTGGTCCTGGCTCTGCCTCAGACTCACCTTGAAGCCTCAAAAGTCTCTCTTCTCTCTGGACCTCAGTTTTCCCATCTGAAAAGAAAGGACTTGGATCTAGTCCCTCAAAGATCTTTCTGCTGTGACAAACATCAACTCAAACAAAAGGCAAAATTCTTATAACACTTCCATAATCCTCATCATGTGCTTTCTCTGCAGTTTCTTCGCAAGAGCCATGGATGGCCCATGCTACCCTCCTTGTATGAGGCAGTGTACTGTGTAGATTAGAAGTGTGAATTCTGGGGCCAGTTAAAGGGTTCTAATTCAGACTCCCCTAAGTAACTTGCTAACTGGCTCGGACAAGTTACTTAGTATCCATATTTTCTTATTTATAAAAATGGGTATACTGCCCAGCTGGTGTTGCTTAGTGCTTAAGCATTGATTGACCCATGGACCAGGAGGTCATGGATCGATTCCAGGTCAAAGCACATGCCTGAGTTGTGAGCTTGATCCCCAGTAGGGGACGCGCAGGAGGCCACAGATTCTCTCTCATCATTGATGTTTCTATCTCTTACTCTCTCTCTCTGAAATCAATAAAAATATATTTTAAAATTGGCATATTAATAATTGACTTTACAACTATCATGACAACGAACTGAGATAATATATGAAAATATCTGGCTTGGGCCGAAACCGGTTTGGCTCAGTGGTAGAGCATCGGTCTGCAGACTGAAAGGTCCCAGGTTCGATTTCGGTCAAGGACATGTACCTGGGTTGCGGGCACATCCCCAGTAGAGGGTGTGCAAGAGGCAGCTGGTCGATGTTTCTCTCTCATCGACGTTTCTAGCTCTCTATCTCTCTCCCTTCCTCTCTGTAAAAAATCAATAAAATATATTAAAAAAAAATATCTGGCTTGGAATAAGTATCACTGAATGATATCTGTTGTTATCTGTGCTGTGAATACAATGTCCCCAAGGAAAGAGGACGGTGCTTAAAGTTGGAAGATGTGGGTTCCGTGACTGTTTCCGATGTCCTGTCAGCTGTTGGACTCTAGGCCAGTTGTCTCCTCTGAACTTCAAACCCTTTACAGGCACATAGCATTGCTGTTATCCTTTATTGTAAAGGAGGAAACTTTGTGCTTTTCTCTTAAGATTTCTGAGGACAGAGACAAATCCTGGGAAAGTTTCAGGGTACCAGAAGTTGCTGCCTCTTGCTTTAAATACTAAGAAAATTGTTGGAGAGGGGCTATGGCAGGAGGATACATTTTTTAAAAAAATCCCAGTTATTTCTAATCCTCATGAATACCATAATGCATCTGGTGTCAATGCTCTAAGCAGAGCTCAAGAAAAAACTTGTGCTTTCAACATGCCAGCTGTTTGGGGTGGGGTGGAGAGGTTGAGTTGGGTAAGGGGAGTGAAGTTGTAGAATTTTGTCTTAGAAGACATGTATGGGAGGGAGGCCTGCTGTCCCCTGGGCTTGCTGTCACCAGCTCAGTCTTGCTAGGCCCCAAGTGCCAGGATGCCTGCTTTGCCTTTGGACTACAGCACCGAATACCTGTGCGCTGAGTACAATGTCCCCATGGAAAGAGGACAGCACTTAAAATTGGAAAATGTGAATTTTATTTCCATTTCCTGTGGCCTCAGCTGGGGGACTCTAGGCCACTTGTCGCATCTGTGAACTTCAAACCCCCTACAGGCACATAGCAATTGCTTTTTCTTTCTATGTTTTCATTTTAGGAAATGGCTCGAGGTCCAGGAGTCAGCTTTGAAACCCCCCCCCCCCCCCCTCCTTTTCCTTCACTTTTAGCATCCAGTTATTCTGCAAGCCCACAACTGACAGTTGTAACTATTCTTCATTATTCTCCAACTTAGGCTACAGCTGCAGCTTATGTCTGGTCTCCTTTTCTCTAAAAGCTCTACTCTAGAAAACTAGACTATTCAGATCTGTCCTAATTGAAAGCCTTTATTGTTGCCATAATCTACAGAAGAAATTCTGAGCTCCCTTGCATAACCCCTGCTAAAATGTCTCTGGTCCCTTCCAGCTTTCCCAATGTATCCTAACCACAACTGTGTAGCCTAAAAAACTCCCTAACAAGCTCCTCGCTAAGAATTAGGTTGAGCTGCAAGTGACAGGAACACTCTGCCTACCACTTAACACCAGGTTAATAAGAGAAAAAAGTATTTTTCTCTAAAGTAAGAAAAGAAGAAGCCCAGAGGTAGACATTCTAGAGCTGGTGTGATGTCCAGAGTGTCAGGAACCCAGGCTCCTACTACCTTGTGTGGCTATGCTATCATGTGACTTCTACTTCATGAGCCAACATGACTACTCCAGCCCCAATCATCACACCCACTTTTAGCCAGCAAGAGGGAGGAAAGAACAAAGAAGGGCATAACCCTACCTCTTAAGAACACTTCCTGGAAATCACACTTGCTTACCCACAATTGGTCAGAATTTTTGCTTTGAAGGAAGCAAGGGAATTTTTTTTCAGGTAGCTTTTATTTTTTTCCTAATCTTTTTACTTATTTTAAATTCAAATTCCCTCCCCCATTACAGTTTACATTCAGTCTTTTCTAGTCTTTATTTTAGTTAGCCATGTTTTGAGGTAACCATCCGAAGTGTTTGTTACCAAGGAAGAAAGAGAGAATGGATACTGGGTGACACCTAGCAGTCTCTGCCACGCATTCTCACATCTGTAGACTTGTACACTTTGTTTCTTCTGCCCTGGACAGCCTCCCTTCCATCATCATACTCTCCCCTGGCTTGGCCTGTTCATATTTGGTCCTTAACACTCACTCACCTCGTGGCCAACCTCGCCCTGGCACCCTGTACAACGGCACAATCCCTGGCCAAGGTGGGCCTACCATCCATATTTCTTGCTTGAAAGATATACTGAGGACAGGATTATATTCACCAGGCTTCCAGGGTTTCCCTACATCTGGGGGAAGGTATGGAGGCAATGTAGCCAAACAACCTAAGGGACTTGTGCAAATTTCTGTTCTTTGGGTTGTACACATACCATCTGCCCTCCCATAGCTATTCATCAATATCACTGCAGTGAGATTGATTAGATCTCCACCTTTGTGTTGATGAGTGGTCCAGGGCAGGAGGGATTATTGTTGTGATTCTTGCTTTCATTTTCAGTCAGTTCTTGATTTGATTTCTGTGATGTGTTCCTCTCAGTTTCTACCTGAGCAGCACCATCTTCCACCTGCATTTTAAGGGGAATGTCTGACAGTTGATCACAGATCATAGTTTTGGAGTTCTTAAGAGGGAACTGACTTATTTCACTATAAACCTTTGGGGCCCCGTTTCTGTCTTTCTTTCTCATTTACCCCTGTACTCCATCTGATGAGTATGAAGGCCTAAGGAGATCACCCCACTTGCTCATCGTCACCAAATAAGTTAGGATGGAACCAAGAACTGAGCTCAGGTCTTTTTGTATCCAACTCTGGTATCTTTCACTTGTCACCACGCTTTTCTTATATTGGTACGTAATTTTCTCCCCGAATTTACTTATTTATTTATATATATTTTTAATTATTATTTTTAAAATATATTTTACAGAGAGGAAGAAAGAGGGATAGAGAGTTAGAAACATTGATGAGAGAGAATCATCAATCAGCTGCCTCCTGCACACCCCCCACGGGGGATGTACCTGCAACTAAGGTATATGTCCTTGACCGGAATCGAACCTAGGCCCTTTCAGTTTGCAGGCTGATGCTCTATCCACTGAGCCAAACCAGTCTCGGCTCTCCCTGAATTTAGATTCGCTTAGGATGAATGCCGAAAAAAAGAAATTACTGAGTCAAAGGGCATACATATTATTTTTTTAAGGAACTAAATACATTTTAAAAAATTGATCTAACAGAGTTGTTGTCTTATGATAGTCACATTTTGCCCAGTGGGCTCTAATTATCGCTTATAGGCCAGTCTGGAAGCTCGGAAACGTGGGGGAGGAGAGGAGCTGTGACTGGTCTCCAGCAGGTTATGTGTGAGCATCTCACCAGCATGGTGAGATTCTCGTGTTTAGAGGGGCATGTTTTTGTCTATACTGTGGCCTCTACACACACAGATTGATGACTTCATTTGGTGTTCAGCTATAGACATAGCCCTTCATTCCAACACAGCAGAAATCATTGGCCATGATGCGAAGTCTAACTCCATTACAATCTGTAAACACTGTATAGTGGACTTTATAGGTGATTAAAAGGATTTCTAGGGACTATGTTAATTAAATGAGATCCTGACTTTAAAGCTCATCCCCTTGCCCCTCTTTTTTTTAAAATATATTTTATTGATTTTTTACAAAGAGGAAGGGAAAGGGATAGATAGAAACATCAATGAGAGAGAATCATTCATCAGCTGCCTCTTGCACACCCCATACTAGTGATGTGCCCGCAATGAAGGTACATGCCCTTGACTGGAATAGAACCCAAGACCTTTTGGTTCACAGGCCAACGCTCTATCCACTGAGCCAAATCGGTTTCGACACCTTGCCCCTCTTATGAGGTATAACTGCAAGGGACTAGCCACAAGCCTTTTTCACCATACTCTCACCCAGTGCAACCCTCTCTGCTCTATCCCTTTGAGGGCCTCACAGTTCAGCATCTTTGCCTTCTTCTAACTGAAGTTAAGTGCTGCATGGAATCTTAGAAGCCTCATGGAGCTCAGAGGTCTCAAGTGGTCCTTGTGATGCGAGACAAATCGAACATTTATGTGTCCATGTCCATAAGATGACACCTTGTCTGTTTCTTCCTGCAGTTGATCACCACGGATCCAAACTTCCTCAAAGACAGTTTGTACAATGAGGGAATCCTAATTATGTGGGACCCATCTGTTTACCATGCAGATATCCCCAAGGTAAGTGTGTGTTCCCTGGAAACAGGGATTTAGTCTCCTGTTTGCCAACAGCTTTTCCCGAGCTCCGGGCTGACCTGGGCCATATGGGAGGACTGGCTCTGCCATCCCACTTTATCTGAACAGCAGTTCGGACATATTACTGTTCTGTTCCAGTGCTCCCCATGCTCTGGTCCACATTGCCTTCTGTTGGTCTCCTAATGATGGTTTGTCGCAGGAGGAACAGTGGCTCTTTTGAGTTACTATTAGTCCTATGAATCGTGTCACCACCCTTGTCTCAGAATTCTCATTTCATTCTCATAACAACATGAGGAAGTAGACAGAAGTGTGGTTTGTTTTCATTTGCAGATGAGGAAACTGGAATGTGGACAGGGAAAGTCACCTCTTTCTGGACTTGATTTCCTAAGCAAAGGGCCAGATCTGTAACATCAGCTCCGTCAAGGGAAGAAGACGGGAGTGTCAGGCCTGCTGAACTCAGCCTCTCCAGAATGGCCCTCTCACTGTCATGCGTGGCAGTTGGCCTCTCTCTGACGTGGGCTGCAGTGGCCACAGGAGAATGGCTTTAGGAAGGATAGAGAACATGGCTCTTGGGACACTGAGTTTGCAAGTTGGACATATTAATAACTGGCAAGCTCTGGTGATCTTCCCCCCCCCCACCACCACTGCCTCAGTTTCCACAGTTTTGCACTAATCTTTGCCCCCATAAAAATAAAAATGAGGGTGGGACTTGATGGTGCCCGGGACCTCTTTCAGCACTGATATCATTCTCAGATTCTATGATCTTTAAATCTGAAGCTGTTCCAGGGTCACCATGCTCAAAAATCCCCTGTGAGCGCAAGTTACGTGCTCGCTCCCCCTGCTATCAGTGAGAGCTGTGATGTGGAGGGAAGTCTGACATTTTCTGTAATGGAGGGGCCGTTCCTCAGGATTCTGCCTTGCTCCTTCTTTCCCCCCACCCCCCATGTCTTCAGTTGAGGATGACTGCCTGAGGCAGCAGTGGCCCTGGCACACTTCTCCCCTTGAGAAAAATCATTTCCTTCTTTTTCAGTGGTACAAGAATCCTGACTACAGATTCTTTGAAAACTACAAGAGCTATCGTAAACTGCATCCTGATCAGCCCTTTTACATCCTCAGACCCCAGATGCCCTGGGAACTGTGGGACATCATTCAAGAAATTTCCCCAGAGGAGATTCAGCCAAACCCCCCATCCTCTGGGATGCTCGGTGAGTCCATGTCTGGTAAAGACCTCTCGTGTTTGTTTTTAGAGGAGATTAGCTTTCTCCTGGGGCCTCATTCATTCACTCATTTGTTCATTCATTTGTTCACCAAACAATTGCTGGGTTTTTGCTGGCTTTGTACACTATGCCAGTTTCCAGCTAAGTTACAGAGATTAATAAGATAGACTTCCTTTTTCTTTAGGATGTTCAGTGGGAGAGCTCAGTCAGGTGGCTGAGGTAGCATTCAATTTGTGTGAGGAGGGAGTAACCACCCTGGGTCACAGGAGAGAGGACACTATATAGGTGGACAGTCCTAAGAGCTTTTAGAGGAGAGCTTTGCATTAGGCCTTGAGAGGGGCATATTTGGCAGGTGGAGGTGAAGTGAAGCACAGTCAAGAGAGGGGGTGGTAACACAGGGACTCGGTTGAGGAGAGCGAGACACTGGCATCAGCCATACCACTTAAACATTCAAAACAAAAAATTCAGGAACAAGATAGTATCTTAACACAATATTTTTTAAAAATCACAATGCAAAATTATATGATGAATGAAATATCAAAATTTTAAATAAAGACATAAATAATAATATGCTGAGCCATAGTGAAATTTGAGGATAAAGGAAGAATCAATAATACTTTATTTAAAATTTAAAAAATTCTTCATTCTAATTGTGGACCTGAAAGAATGAGTAGTGAAGTTTGACTGGGTTTGGAAACTGATGTGGAATGGGTTGGGCGTGGGTGGGCAGAGTACAGATGCTGCCTATACCCTGTACTCTGGATGTTGGCTATAGGCTTTCTTCTTGGACTTCCTCCAGTTCTCTTGGCCTTCAGGGAATATTTGCCTTCCCTCCCTTTCAATTCTAGTTTAGCTGGACCATCGGCGATGTCCACAGGATTCTAGGCTTGGTACATGCCCGGGAAGGGAAGCTCCCTCCTCTGGGCCCCTGAGTGGGCTACTTTCCACCAATGGCCCCAACCACTCACCATTGTGTCATTTGCCTTTCCACTCCCCCACAAGACTGCAAACTCCCTCAAGGGTGGGGACTATGACCTCCCTGTTACATTGCAAACTCCTTCAGGGTGGGGATTGTGGTTGACTTATCCTTGGTGAGTCTGGCACAGGACAGTCCTATAGAAAATGCCCCCTGAATAAATGAACAAATAAGTGTTTAATAGCAGAGGTACTCCTTATAAAAATAGACAAGGGCTCTTCCACTTTCACAGCTTCATATCTCTCTTCAACTTTTAAACGGGTGCATTTGAGACTTATCCTGGAGCCCTTTGAGCAGGAATAGTTGGGGAATGCATTATGGAGATCATATTTCTCTGTTGCCATACCTTTGCCCATGTTGTTCCTTCCACCACTAATCCTCCCCTCTTGGCCATCCCTCATGGCCATAATCCCTGTCAGCCCCCACACCAGTGCTCTGGGAGATTTACTCTCTCATAGGAAGTGTTCCATCCCATAATTTCTAGCACTCCTGGTGTGCCTACATCCCTTAGTTGCAGTTGTATCTTTTTTCCCCCATTGGACCAGGGGCAACCAGAGGGCAGAGAGAGGACTTTCCCCATATCTGATTCTTTTGGAACAAAGGTGATGCTAGCAGTTTCCAGTTTTGCTGTTAGTGATAACTATTCCATCATAGTTTCCTATATTTATGTTGACAAAAGGGGTCTTAGAGCCATGATCTTATTGCATCCTAATAATAATAATCTGGGTGATAGGAAGTAGGTAGATAACCCTGTTGAGGGGGATGAAGAACCTGAAGAACATGTCCTGGATGTGATGACTGAGCCAGGTGGGGACAGGTGTGGGTGGTAGCAGCAATATCCTGCCTCTTGATGGGTTTGCATCTCAGTATTTGCACTGCCTCCCTGAGAGTACTAACGTGGCCCCACCTCCTCAGCTCCAATCCTTACCTGAATGAGCAGAGCCCATCAACACAGACCATGGTGTGCTCCTCTTACATATGTCCCTCCTCCCAGCTGAGGGAGGAAAAAATCTCCCCTCACCACACTGTTTCCTGCAAGTACCATAAGAAAAACCTTCTCCCAAATAGCACCGTCTAAGAGGTTCCTTCGGGATAAAAAAGTACTAGAAAGTAATATTATGTACATGTGATGGTATTGTCTTCTCAGTCGCCTTGTCCTCTCTCTTTATATAGCTCATTTACATAGATAAATGCATTGATGATGGATGGAGTCTGTCAATCTGCTAATGTTTAGGGAGGACCTGCCATGCACTGGGTTCTGGCCTATGCACTAGGGATACAAATGTACATCAGGCTCAGTGACCCGCAAGGAACAACCTGCTGGATTGGCTTACCAGAAGGACTCATGATGGGAATCATAAGAATAACTAGGAAATCCAGATAGACCTCTCCCCAAATTAGGGGTCATGAGCTGTGGACTCACTGGGCAGAGCTCCGAGGAGCAGGGTGGGTTGTTGGGCAGGACTTAGCCTCTTGCTTCCCTTTGCAGGCATCATCATCATGATGACGCTGTGTGACCAGGTGGATATTTACGAGTTCTTGCCATCCAAGCGCAAGACCGATGTGTGCCACTACTACCAGAAGTTCTTCGACAGCGCCTGCACGATGGGCGCCTACCACCCGCTCCTCTTTGAGAAGAATATGGTGAAGTACCTCAACCAGGGCGTGGATGAAGACATTTACCTGTTTGGAAAAGCCACACTGCCTGGCTTCCGGAGCATTCACTGCTAAACATGGGCTCCCTGGCCAGGTGCCCTCACCCTTCTCCATTGGGCATTTTATAGCTAATCTCTTGGCCACCCTTGGCCTGGGACCATGTTCCCAAACAGCCCCTGCCTGCTCCTTGCACTCTAGGCCTTCCATTGGCAAGGGCTCTGGGGTTTCAGGGAACCATGGACGAGGAACCAGGCCCAGCCTGCCCTATAGCCATAGAGGTGTGTGAGCTCAAAATCCCCTGCCACACGTGGGCACACACACCTAGCACTCTTTCCAGACAGAGTCTTCCCCTCCTTCCACATGGGTAAATATGAGACCTACCTTTCCTACCAGGGCTGCCCAAACTGAGGACTGGTTTTTTCACAAACCAGCACTCCATGTTGCTTGAAATCTGCACTTAGACATTGATTTCATCTTTGAAAGAAATTCTCCCAAATTATGATTATGTCTATAGGGTGGCTCTGGGGAAGGGAGTTGTGTGTGTGTGTGTGTGGGGGGGGGGGGCAAGAAAGAGCTACAAGGTGTAGGAAACATGCTCGATTCCTCCTAAGGAAGTCGCTCCCAAAGTCCATGCCCTCGGGAGAGGCAGTGTCCTATCATTCAGGCTGTTTGGCTGGTCCCTCAGCCTGGGTGCCATGTGCAAAGGGTCTTGATGAACCCACATTTCTTTTCATATGGAATTGGAGCTATAGAAATGTATAGTCTACATCCTCAAGTTGCTCACAGTTCAGTGGGAAAGACAGATGAGTAGGAAGCGATGAGCTCAGTGGCCTGGGGGCCTATAGAGAGGTGGACTTGCTGTCTGTCTGTCTGTTAGTCTGTCTATGCACCCTGAAAAGGAGGAGCACACCCTGTGTCTGTGGGTCATAGAGGACTTCACAGAGCAGAGGCCAAGGAATGGGTTTTAGAGAAAGAAGGGAAACATGTCAAGCAGATTTGACATAACTCAAATGTCTGAGTCATTTGAGTTATGTTTTCCTTTCTGCCTTTATTACCCATATTTATTCTCTACAGTCTGCCTGAACTTTCAGGCTCAAATTATTTTTTGAGGAAAATCCCAATCTATGTGTGAGGCAGTGAGTGCAGCCCCATGGACGATACAAGAACATTGCCAAAACCCTTATTTCCCTAGGCTCAGCTTGGCCTGCCCTGAGCCTATCCTACTAGTTGGGTTTGTATTGTACACTGTATCCACCACCTCTTCCTTTTTAATGCTCACCCCAATCCTCTATCTATCAACTTATTTTCCTCTTTAAAGTGGCCCTCCCCCACCCAGAATAAATACTTCTAAGCATTTTCTCCTTTAAAAGTATCCTGACCTCAATGTCTTTGACCTTCATGGGCTTTCTGTGGAAGGTCTCTCAGGGAGTAGGGATATGGTTCCCGAGAACTTAAAGTTGCTCTCTGAGGTCAGAATCTTAGAGACAATAACTGATTTTCACAAGGCCATCAAATGGCCTCCCCTGATGCCACTCTAGCAAGTGGTCAGGGGCAGTCTCCCATTTACTAGCCATGCCACCCTGGGCAAGTTTTCCTGTCTGAGCTTCTGTTTCCACATCTGTAAAATGGGCATGATGAACCTATTTTACAGTGCTGTTGTGAGGGTCACATGAAACGCCTGCCCTGACTCTGTTTCTGGCACCTAAGAGGTGCTCAGTATATGACAGTTTTCTTCCTTCTCTAACTAAGGAAGTATGTTCTGTGCTCACACTTGAGCAGCACCCTGCTTTGAAGGAGGCCAGAGATGGGGTCCTATCTTTAGGAAATTAACTGTCCTGTCAGGAGATAACTACTATCCTGTTTAGAACAACCGTGAAACTATCTGAGACAGAGAAGGGGCAGAACATGCTCCTATTCCTTCCTGCAGCCCAACCCTGGCCTGAATCTGCTTGAGAATGGGTGGAGGGAGCACTTGGGCCACTAATTTCTGTGGAACTAGTCTTGCCTGCCTCCCAGGGCCCATAAATTCTTGGCTTGCTTTTCTTACTTGACTCACACATTGCAACCTTTGAATCATGAACACTGAGTGCAGAGGAATGTGTCATTTCATCCTCAGGAGATAGATGTTGGTATGGACACTGAGACTACACTGGGTAGATGCTAGCTTTTAGTTATTATTAATATAAGGAATCAAATTAATTTAAGTGTGATTCTGTGTTCTACATAGAAACTCTGGTAAAATGCACAGACTGTTGATCTGGTGAGATGTTTAATATGTGTTACAGATAATTGAAAACATTGGAATGCCCCTGTCTCTAAGGGGTTCAGTCTTTCACAGTAATCATAAGATCCTCTAATCTTTCACCAATCAAATACCTGTTAACATGATTTGGAGTTGAGGCATCTTCTGAAAAATGCCTAAGCTAATTTTGAATTATTCAAAGCTTATGTAAATTTTTAAATAAATGTTTTTGTTTTTTAAAAAAGTTTGTCCCTCTCTTCTTATTTGATAAGGGAACAACTGTCACCTCTTGTCTCCAAAGAGGACATGGCTGGAATCCTGAATCCCTAAATCTGCCCCCACTAGCCTCTCTGCAGTGCTCCAGGAAAAGGAATGGTCACTTATGTGTTAGGATAGCATCTGTGAGATACTGACTGATTTATTGATTTGTCTTTCTTTTGCTTTTGCTTGGATTCACATGACTAAGCTGTTGTTTGTGCAGCACCTTGGAAGAAAGCAAAATAAACGGATGGTACTTAGCTTGGTTTCCAATAGTCTAAAACCCTTAAAAGAATGATGTCCTAAGGGAATAGCCAAATGTTTGGATAAAGATCTTGAGGAGATGCAGGAATAAGGGGAGAAGGAATTCCATGGCTTTCCCTATGGGTTGAATATGTCCCTTTAAATTCATACATTGAAGTCTTAATCTCCCGTGCCTCAGAATGTGAACTTACTTGGAAGTAGAATTATTGCAGAGGTAACTAGTTAAAATGAAGTCATACTGGAGTAGGGTGAGCCTCTAATCCAATGTGATTGGTGTCCTTATAGAAATTTGGGGATAGACATGCATGTAGGGAGATCACCATGTGGAGACACAGGCAGAGATAAGGTCAGAAATTTGATCTCAAAGACCAAGAAGGAAATGATAAATGATAAAACCCACACATTCCAACCCACACAGGGCCTGGAATTACATAAATCTTTCAAAGGGAATTTTTAAGACTGGTTTGACAATACTTCTCCTACAAGCCAAAGATTGCCAGCAAATCACCAGAAATTGGGAAAGAGGGGCATTTAAGATACTCCTTCAGAGCCGTCAGCAGGAACCAATCCTGATGACAACTCCATCTCAGACTTCTAGCTCCAGATCTGTAAGAAAATAAGTTGCTGGGTTCAAGCCACCCAGTTTGTGGTATTTTGTTCCAGCAGCCCTAGCAAGTACTCCTGCGTATGACTCCCCCCTATAATAGAGTCCTCTGGGTCTGGAAAGGAGAGTGAAAAGGTTTTGGCTGTCTGAAGGCCTAGAAAGAGGATCCTGTGTCCAGCTCCCCAGCCAAAGTTCTGGGAATGAACTCCTTGGAGAATGTGGCTTCACAGGAATGGAGTCCAGGCAGATGAGACCTGAGGCAGCTTTGAGGAGATTCCCTTCCTGATGAAGATCATGAATGCAGGACACGTCAGTAGCCAGATAACACCAAAGACTGTACTCCCAACCCCTGCACCCAATTTCTTAGTGTTGTATGTTCCCAGGAACTCAGATGTAATGCCATATTGACTGAGATTGGTTTTCTGCCAGGATCCCAGTAGAATGGAAGCTCAAAATAGAAATAAAAACAGATTTCAGTGAGTTTGGGAACTGAGATCTGTGCTTTCCAAATTACAGTGGCTCTAAATCTTTCTGTGGCGATGAAGTCTGTGCTTGTCTCTAATGACATCTCTGCTGTAGGGCAGCCTACAGGTGGGCTGGCCCAGCTGAACAAACAGCGCCAGCTCAGAAGGCTCAGGTCCTGGCATCAGCGCTCTCTGTGCTTCTTCAGATGTTTGTCTTTACCTCTTGCCAAAGAAAAATCCAAGGAGCCTTAGAGCAGGTGAGAAAAAGCTACATAAAGTTCATCACACTCCGAAGTCTGCTTGCCAAAGGTCTGTCTGAAGGCGCAATTAGGTGAATGGAAAAGGAACAGTCAGTCATAGGCACAGGCACAAAAATGGCTGAGAGTCTGTTCCATTCTCAACAACTCAGGTTGAGACAAAGACCTTGAGCCTTCACAAATCTCCATGGAAGGAGATCAAAAGGGAAATACCTGCTGTGTTCCTACATGAATACCTCTTTTCCAAACGAGAAGCATCCAATTCTTGGAACATATCTCACAGGGAAAGTGTGGCCCTGGGCAGCACTTAGTAATAAAGTATTCAATAGAGAGTTCTAGGTGAAAGTAAAAACACAGAGAAGCCCTGAGCAGCCTCTTTCACAATAAAGCAATCCACCCATAGAAGATTATAATGCCCCAGGCAGTGCTTACCAAGAGCAGGGAGTTGGTGGTTTGTCAGGCGGTAACCATGCTGATCTCACTGTCTGTTATACTTGGCCAGCAGTGCGTAATCTCAGCCTTTTCCCCCTCCAGCTTCCCGCATCTGAGTTATTTCTCATTAGACCATGGTAAATTCCATCAGAAGCCACATAGCAGTATTTCATGTTTACCAGCTGGAAGGATACCAGCACAGCCAGCCCACAGCTCAAGAGTGGTAACACTTTTAAAAATTGTTACTTCCTTATGTTGAAGTTTCTGCTCTTGCCTAACTAAGCAACCTTTACTTAGGCCATTCCTGAAATTCATTTTATACGCTTTGAATCTAATGTCCACTAATCCTGCCAGCTATGCCTTTGCATCCTCTTCTTTTAGAACTTTAAAAAAGTATATTAAATGTGTTCTTCTATCTATCCATCCACCCAATCACTTGTTCATATAACTGATAAATATTGGTATACGTACACTGTGCCCCATCCTGATGTCACTTGATAGAGTTACAAAAATAATAACAATAATGACAACTAGAGTGACATCACCAAGGTGCAACATAGAAGACCCTGCCTCTGTACCCACACCAACGTCAATAATTAAGTAGCTACCCACGAACACAAACAGCTCTGAGAGAGCTCTGGAGTCCACTTAAGAAACCCTGTGGAACAAAGAGCCTGAGCAAACTGCACAAGAAGAGAAGGAAGACAGCTTCATTTCACCTGCATCTTTTCATCCCATAAGCTGGCATTGCTCAGTGCCAAGATGGTGCTTCCTAGTGAGAAAGAACTCTCCTCACAGAAAAAAAAAAAAAAAAGGTAGGGTAAGTAACCAACTTCAGCTTTTCAGGGTGCCACACAGCATTGATGTGGGGGATGAGGTCAGATTTCAGGTAGAATTATTGAGAAGCAGCATTTTTTTAAAACCTACAATTATACTTGCTGATGCCCCTGACGTTCATCTCAGATACATTTCTGTGCATAGGGCAATGATACATTTATAAGGTGGAGCCTCCCATTCTATTTGAAGTCTAGGGAATTCACTCCTAATACCAAAGGAAGAGATGCACTGACCTGTTTGACACCTTAGTACAAAGAAAAACATACTATTCCTCTGCACAGGTGTAGCCTTGCACAATGGTGTGGCTTGGCAAGGGGATTTTAGTAGAGTTTCGGTCTCCATGAACACTCTGGGCCAGACGTCTTTGGGCAACACTCAAAAAGCACAATCACACAAGGTAGCTCTGGGTCTGGGATCATGAAGAGTATTACCTTTAAAAAATTTTTTTTTAGTGGCTGACAAGTAAACATGCTTATCTCAGTTTGTAATTACATTTGCAAGATTTCATATTTGCTCCCAGTCCAATAAGTTCCATGAAGGTAGGGACTCTGTTTTTACTTATTTGCTGAGTAAATTGCTAATGCCTACTACAGTACCTGGCACATAGCAAGTAAGCTCTCATTATTTGTTCAAGTCTTTTCATAATCATGGCTTCAATACTTTGGGGAAGAGCAAAAGGTGTTCCTCATATCTCTCTGACGTGACTACTGTCCAAAAGTTTATCTATGGGAACTCCTAAAGAAAAGAGTGAAGATGACTGGCCGTTTCAAAAGCAGAAACTGCTAACTCTACTGCTGGAAGCCAGTTTCAACATGTCATAATTACAAGAGTTTTATCAAAAGGTTGATGGAACTTGGGGACTCAACAAGGGCTGAGTCACATGTGTTATCACCTGTTTGAAATGGCTAAAGGTATTTCCCCAAACCTGAAAAAGATTATTGTTTACTGCCAGACAGCTCTTGGCATCTTAATCTACATGTTTGCCTGCTACCAGCCAAACACCTGAACATCCTATGGTAATTCCCCATTTTGACAATGCCTCTGTACGAACCCTACCCTTTGAAGTGTATATCTCCACCTTGCCTTAAAGCAAGGAGTCCTGAGACAAGGAGATCTTAATTCCTTTTAGCTAAGCTCCTCTGACCCCTAAATGTCTTTCATCTCTGTACTCATACTTAAGTTACACACAGCCTTTTTCCAGATTGCTAAACCCTTCTTAATGCTGGAATAAGAACCCTGGCACTCTACTAGGCAAGGTTACAACTACTCTTGCTTCTGGATACAGTCTCATTTAGATAGATTAACAACATGAGTAACTAACACTGTGGCTGACCCTCTACTGATCCCAGTTCTTTCCAAACCTATTCTTATCTCTTCCTCTAATCCATTTCCCATACAATAGCCAGGATGCAAACAAACCCAATGAAGGCATTTTCAGCTCAAAACTTTTTAACAGTTTAATTGCTTAGGAAAGAAGACAAAGTTCTATCATAATTTACAATCCTGTGTGACGTGGCCTCTGCTAACTCTGCAAGCTCATCTAGAGCCATTCTCTTTGCTTTTTCTCTGCTATTGCCCCTTCATGTCCTTAACTCTACAAGGTTCTTTGCTGTTCAGGGCCTTCACACATGCTGTTTCCTCTTAACTAAGTTGCTCCCCCAACCACAATCATCACATACCTGATTATTGCCCCTTATGTAGTTCTCAGTTAAATTGAGTTCTGAATGCAAATTGAATGCATGATGTAATGTGGATATCCCCACTTGCCCAGTAACTCCACCTCTCAGCAGCCTATTCCTTCCTAGTCCTTGTCCAATTGTGTCCCATTCTACACATCTGTATGATCTGATTAGCCTTTCTCCCTCTCACCATAGACTATTCTATGAAGACCCGTCTGGCTCATTGATATAGTCTTGGCTATTACTCAGGGGTTTCGCATATAACTCAGATTGTAGTGTTTCTTGAATAAATGAAAGTACAATGGGGTTTTTCTGTTTGTTTTTTAATCCTCACCTTAGTATATTTTTCCATTGATTTTCAGAGAGAATGGAAAGGGAGGGGGAGGAGGAGAGAGAGAGAGAGAGAAACATGGATGTGAGATACACATAGATTGGTTGTCTCCCCCATGTGGTCCAGGATGGAACCTGCAACCCAGGTAAGTGCCCTTGACAGGAATCAAACCCATGACCATTTGGTGCACAAGCCAATGCTCTGACCACTGAGCCATGCCAGCAGGGTGAAAGTAGTTTTGAAGGACCAGAGAGACATGTTAACATGAGATGGGGTTAGATAATATGAGGAAGTACAAGCAGCCAAAAAGCAACCCCAGCAACACAGCTAGGGCTGATTATTCAGACTCCACAGGCAGCTTAGGAGCAGAGCTGTAGCAGTCTGAGACCTCTGGCTATGCTGGTGTCTCAGGGACAAAAGCAAGTGTCCCTTAGTGCCTGCTGCTCATTTTTTAGAAACACTCTCCTGCTTCTCTTATTAAATGTTCATCAAGAAGAACTTTTTCATCTTTTAAAAAATTGATCTTATAAAAAAGTTAATAGCTCACTGCAGAAAGATTAAATAAAAGCAATAGAACACTAAACAACAAAACACACACACACACACACACACACACACACAAAAAAACAAACAAACAAAAACTATCATCCCAGTTATCTAGAAAAAACTGACAGCCTTCCAGATGTAACAGCCTTCCAGATAATATATAGGTACACACAGAAATGATCTTTCTTTAACGTAAAAACATTTGTAGATACCATTTTGTAACCACAATTCATCTAAGCAATATGTGACAACTTTGGAACTTTGTAAGTTGTTGCAATAACCTTTATATTTGTGATCTTAAATCCTCCAATGTTCCTCTGTTACAAATAATACAAAACTAGAATAGCTGGTCAACAATAAATAGGAATCTAAAAAGAAAGTAATTCATCTCCATAAAATTTAAAACATAAAAATACACATTTAAAACAGGCTATATTTTGTAAAAACCATCTTAATGGTACATTCAGATTACTCTTATTTTAAAAGCTAGTAGCTCTGGATATTAATTTTTTAACCTAATTGTCAAAACTGGCCAACTTGCTGTCTACTGAATTGGATGGCACCACTCCACCATCTCAGACCTTCCATTAATAAGAAATATCATCTACACCAGCAACAAAAGAGACTCATTTAGTAGCTAAAAATTTTAATATGTCCATAATTCTGATTTCTCATTTTGT